CACCCTGAGCCACCACCACTGACACTTGAAGCTACACCCTGAGCACCACACTGACACTTCAAGCTACACCCTGAGACACTACCACTGACACTTCAAGCTACACCCTGAGCCACCACCACGACACTTAAGCTACACCCTGAGCCACCACCACTGACACTTGAAGCTACACCCAGAGCCACCACCACTTTACACTTCAAGTACACCCTGAGACACTACCATGACACTTGAAGCTACACCCTGAGCCACCACCACTGACACTTGAAGCTACACCCTGAGCACACAACTGACACTTCAAGCTACACCCTGAGACAATTACCACTGACACTTCAAGCTACACCCTGAGCCACCACCAAATGACACTTAGCTACACCTGAACCACCACCACTGACATTTCAAGCTACACCTGAACACCACCACTGACACTTCAAGCTACACCCTGAGCCACACATTGACCTTGAAGCTACACCTGAAACCACCACCCCTGACACTTCAAGCTACACCCTGAGCCACCACCATGACACTTCAAGCTACACCCTGAGCCACCACCACTTACACTTCAAGCTACACCCTGAGCCACCACCACTGCCACTTGAAGCTACACCCTGAGCCACCACCACTGACACTTGAAGCTACACCCTGAGCCACCACCACTGACACTTGAAGCTACACCCTGAGCCACCACCACTGACACTTGAAGCTACACCCTGAGCCACCACCACTGACACTTGAAGCTACACTCTGAGACACCACCACTGACACTTGAAGCTACACCCTGAGCCACCACCACTGACACTTGAAGCTACACCCTGAGCCACCACCACTGACACTTGAAGCTACACCCTGAGCCACCACCACTGACACTTGAAGCTACAACCCTGAAGACACTATCACTGACACTTGAAGCTACACCTGAGCCACCCACTGACACTTGAAGCTACACCCTGAGCCACCACCACTGACACTTGAAGCTACACCCTGAACCACCACCACTGACACTTGAAGCTACACCCAGAACCACCACCACTGACTCTTGAAGCTACACCCTGAGCCACCACCACTGACACTTGAAGCTACACCCTGAACCACCACCACTGACACTTCAAGCTACACCCTGAGCCACCACCACTGACACTTCAAGCTACACCCTAAGCCACCACCACTGACACTTGAAGCTACACCCTGAACCACCACCACCACTGACACTTCAAGCTACACCCTGAGCCACCACCACTGACACTTGAAGCTACACCCTGAGCCACCACCACTGACACTTGAAACTACACCCTGAGCCATCACCACTGACACTTGAAGCTACACCCTGAGCCACCACCACTGACACTTGAAACTACACCCTGAGCCACCACCACTGACACTTGAAGATACACCCTGAGCCACCACCACTGACACTTGAAGCTACACCCTGAGCCACCACCACTGACACTTGAAGCTACACCCTGAGCCACCACCACTGACACTTGAAGCTACACCCTGAGCCACCACCACTGACACTTGAAACTACACCCTGAGCCACCACCACTGACACTTGAAGATACACCCTGAGCCACCACCACTGACACTTGAAACTACACCTGAGCCACCCCCACTGACACTTGAAGATACACCCTGAGCCACCACCCCTGACACTTGAAGCACACCCTGAGCCACCACCCCTGGGCACTTGAAGATACATCCTGAGCCACCACCACTGACACTTGAAGCTACACCCTGAGCCACCACCACTGACACTTGAAGATACACCCTGAGCCACCACCACTGACACTTGAAGCTACACCCTGAGACACTACCACTGACACTTGAAGATACACCCTGAGACACTACCACTGACACTTGAAGATACACCCTGAGCCACCACCACTGACACTTGAAGCTACACCCTGAGCCACCACCACTGACACTTGAAGCTACACCCTGAGCCACCACCACTGACACTTGAAGATACACCCTGAGCCACCACCACTGACACTTGAAGATACACCCTGAGCCACCACCACCGACACTTGAAGCTACACCCTGAGATACTACCACTGACACTTGAAGCTACACCCTGAGCCACCACCACTGACACTTGAAGCTACACCCTGAGCCACCACCACTGACACTTGAAGATACACCCTGAGACACTACCACTGACACTTGAAGATACACCCTGAGCCGCCACCACTGACACTTGAAGATACACCCTGAGACACTACCACTGACACTTGAAGATACACCCTGAGACACCCACTGACACTTGAAACTACACCTGAGCACCACCACTGACACTTGAAACTACACCCTGAGCCACCACCACTGACACTTGAAGATACACCCTGAGACACTACCACTGACACTTGAAGCTACACCCTGAGCCACCACCACTGACACTTGAAGCTACACCCTGAGCCACCACCACTGACACTTGAAGATACACCCTGAGGGCACTACCATGACACTTGAAGCTACACCTGAGCCCCACCACTGACACTTGAAGCTACACCCTGAGCCACCACCACTGACACTTGAAGATACACCCTGAGGCACCACCACTGACACTTGAAGATACACCCTGAGCCACCACCACTGACACTTGAAACTACACCCTGAGCCACCACCACTGACACTTGAAAACACACCTGAGCCCACCACTGACACTTGAAATACACCCTGAGCCACCACCACTGACACTTGAAATACACCCTGAGCCACCACCACTGACACTTGAAGCTACACCTGAGCCACCACCACTGACACTGAAATACACCCTGAGCCACCACCACTGACACTTGAAACTACACCCTGAGCCACCACCACTGACACTTGAAACTACACCCTGAGCCACCACCACTGACACTTGAACTACACCCCGAGCCACCACCACTGACCCCTTGAAAATACACCCTGAGCCACCACCACTGACACTTGAAACTACACCCTGAGCCACCACCACTGACACTTGAAACTAAAACCCTGAGCCACCACCACTGACACTTGAAACTACACCCTGAGCCACCACCACTGACACTTGAAGATACACCCTGAGCCACCACCACTGACACTTGAAGCTACACCCTGAGCCACCACCACTGACACTTGAAGATACACCCTGAGCCGCCACCACTGGACCTTGAAGCTACACCCTGAGCCACACCACTGACACTTGAATCTACACCCTGAGACACTACCACTCACACTTGAAGCTACACCCTGAGACACTACCACTCACACTTGAAGCTACACCCTGAGCGCCACCACTGGACACTTGAAAACTACACCCTGACCCACCACTGACACTTGAATACACCCTGAGGCACCACCACTGACACTTGAAGATACACCTGAGCCACCACCACTGACACTTGAAACTACACCTGAGCCACACCACTGACACTTGAAACTACACCCTGAGCCGCCACCACTGACACTTGAAACTACACCCTGAGCACACCACTGACACTTGAAGATACACCCTGAGCCACCACCACTGACACTTGAAGCTACAACCCTGAGCCACCACCACTGACACTTGAAACATACACCCTGAGCCACCACACTGACCCCTTGAAACTACACCCTGAGCACCACCACTGACACTTGAAACTACACCCTGAGCCACCACCACTGACACTTGAAACTACACCCTGAGCCACCACCACTGGACACTTGAAATACACCCTGAGCCACCACCATGACACTTGAAACTACACCCTGAGCCACCACCACTGACACTTGAAGCTACACCCTGAGCCACCACCACTGACACTTGAAGCTACACCCTGAGCCACCACCACTGACACTTGAAGATACACCCTCAGCCGCCACCACTGACACTTGAAGCTACACCCTGAGCCACCACCACTGACACTTGAATCTACACCCTGAGACACTACCACTCACACTTGAAGCTACACCCTGAGACACTACCACTCACACTTGAAGCTACACCCTGAGCCGCCACCACTGACACTTGAAGCTACACCCTGACCCACCACCACTGACACTTTCAGCCACACCCTGTGCTATCACCACTGGCACTTTCAGCCACACCCTGTGCTATCACCACTGGCACTTTCAGCCACTCCCTGAGCCATAACCACTGACACGAAGCCACACCCTGACCCACCACCACCACTGACACTTGAACCCACCACCTCATGGCTCATTTACAGAGTTTCCAACTAAAAGCTTCTCTTCCTGGTAGTTCCAGGCTGCAGCAGCTGCTATATTCACAGCCTCGTTTTTTTCTCGTCGTCACTCAGTGTTTTCCCAGCGACTGACGACTCACATTAAACACAACAAACATTATGTTAATACGACTTACGTGTTTTTTCAGATTTCTAAATCCTTAACTAAGCGATTCTCTTCTATATTCTAAAATTTGTAATAACGTAGTATAATCTGTAACTTTTGTTTCTAATATTATCTAACGTTGAAATGCTTTTTACGCTTACAATAAAAATTAATTTATTTCGTGTCGTAACTACAGAATTCTTAACATCTGCATTGATTTATATACAACATCCACACTGATTTATATACAATATCCAACTGATTTACATGCAACATCCACACTGATTTATATACAATATCCAACTGATGTACATGCAACATCCACACTGATTCATATACACTATCCACACAGATTTATATACATCCATAATTATTTATATGCGACATCCACACTGGTTATACAGCTTCCTTCTCGTTCATTTGGTTCAAGTCATGTGATATGAAGCCTTGTACGTAGGTGCTATTTCAGAAGGTGCTCCATCAGGTGCCCCTTCATTAGTTACTCCTTCAGCAGGTGCTTCTTCAACAGGTGCTCCTGTAGGTGTTCCATTAGTAGGTGTTCTTTCAGTAGTTGTCCTCCACTAGGTGCTGCTCCAGTAGGTGCTGCTCCAGTAGGTGCTACTGCAGTAGGTGCTCCTTCAGTAGATGCTCCTTAATAATAATAATAATAATAATGATGATGATGATGATAATAATGATGTTTCAGTGATGGTGGTGTTCGCGAGTGCAGCGGTGGGGGCGTGTATGGGCGTACTAGTGGTGATAATGGTGACACCAGCCACCCACGCTATCACCATCCATCCAGCAGTACTCCAGAACTTCGTGGGTGAGTTCTCTCTCATTATTTTCAGCACAGCATCGTTATATATATACGTGTATATATAGGAGACCTTCGGTATGTTTCCCTGTTTACCTAGCAGTAAGTAGGTACCTGGGTGTTAGGTGGGGGAGGGGTCGCGTTCTGGGAAATAGGATCAAAGGACCCCCGTGGAAATAAGCCAGTTGATGACATGACCTTAATAGCTAAACTAAACCCTCCGGGTTAATAATCTCCTCAAAATGATCCACATCTTCCCTACAGGTCAATATCGCAAGCCTGGAGAGCCAGTGTTGAGGTCTGCCTTCGACCGACCCCGCTTCCTCCGTCAGCGCCTCCTGCAGGACGTCCCCGCCTCCCTCAGGTCCCGCCACGCACAGAGTTACCTGGGAGACTCGGCCCTCCTGCAGGAGTCCTACCCCGTGGCTGCAGAAGTTGTAGCCCCTGCCGAGGAGTGGAACCGACCGCTCAGGTGAGTTACTCTCACAGTTTTTATGAGGATTTGTAACAAAATTGGACATACCAGTAGTGTGCTGCTTCCATACTGTGTGTGATTATCTCTGTGTTGTTTAGTCAGCGACTGTGTTGGTGACACTGTAGTGGTGGTGACACTGTAGTAGTGGTGACACTGTAGTGGTGGTGACACTGTAGTGGTGGTGACACTGTAGTGGTGGTGACACTGTAGTGGTGGTGACACTGTAGTGGTGGTGACACTGTAGTGGTGGTGACATTGTAGTGGTGGTGATTCTGCAGTAATGGTGACACTGTAGTGGTAGTGACACTGTAATAGTGGTGACTGACATTGTAGTAGCGGTAACACTGAATTGGTGATGGCACGTAATGGTG